TCCTCGGAGAGCAGGTAGAGTCAACACAGAACTAACGGGAAGTGTGCGGCGGTAAGGGACGGACAGCATGGCCTCTCTGGGCCCTCCTGGCCCGAGGAGGCCCCGGGAGCATTCTTGTTTCACGATTGCTTGTTCAGGCTTGAGCGAGGGTCTGTTAGGGTGGGCTTGGATGGGGTGAGTGAGAAACTGAGGGGCATTGGGGTTGAGCTGGGGTTACGGTGAGGCGGGGGAGGGGGCGGGTAATGATAATCAAGGAAGGCTTCCTGGAGGAAAGGAATGTAGCGCAAGATGAAAGCCTTTCATGAGGAGCTCCACTCAGGGCAGGGACCAGGGTTCATCCGTCTGTGTCCTCAATGCTCAGCAGGAGGTTGCCCAGCAGTTGTCTGAAAGGATGGTCAAGGTGGGAAGGGCTACCCGACTGGGGAGGTTAGAGAGGGCTGGCTCTCGGGCAGCCAACAGGATGGTTGCGGCTGGAGGAAGGGGGATGTGTGTGGTCTTAGGCGGCCTGAATTCCTGTGTTGGACACTTTTGGGTCCCTGGAGGCCAGGCAGATGGTGTGAATGGGGGGAGATTCTGGCAAATGGGGAGGGTGAAGACTTGCGGGGAAGGGAAGCACGCAAGCCTTTCCTGGAGGTCATTCGCACTGAAGACCTGTGATGGCGACGACACACTGTGCAGGAGAGGCGGTCAGCAAACAAGGCGAGGCCCCCCGGCCTCCAGGGTTCCATAGCTCGTACATTTGAGCTGCAGTTGAGACATTACCTCGCTTTTTAGCCCTGGTGTCCTCCCACCCAACTTAACCAGAGCAGCTGGGAATTTCCCTACTTGGAACTTCCAGAAAAGGGGAGTGGAAACTGCTGATGTTATATGGGCTCACTTCAGGGGGTCTTAGCTGACAGGGCACCAGCTGCGGTAGGGAGGCTGATGGCTGCCTTGGCCCCCGTCTTTCCTTTCAAGGTCACGCCCTGCACCACACATAGCTCTGGTGTGGACAGCTCTGGGGCCAAGACGGGGAGCCGCTGCCCAGTGTCGCCCGGCAGATCGGGGTGGGGGGGGGGTGGGAGAAACTGGAGGTGGAGCCCAGGCTGCCTGTTGGCGGGCCAGGACATTTTCCGTGTTCCACTCCCCTGCTGCCTTTCCTGGGTGTGGATGTTGGCAGTGCTTGCTGTGGTGGGCCGGCTCCCACTGGAAGGGGAGTGCGGTAGCGGCCTCCATGGGTTGGATCCTCTAGGCCCCAGGCGCCTGGAGAGCCGGAGAGAGGCTAGGTTTGGAGTCCTGGGCTGCCACCCACTCCCCGTGGGCCTTGGGCAGGCCCCCCTGCCTTATGTCCCTGTGTCTCTTGTCTTCTGTGTACGTTCAAAGGGCTGGACTGGTGGCAGTGATTTCTCAAATGTGCAGCCTTCACAGGCCGACTTCGGGATTTGCCATCCCCTCGTACTGTGTGACTCATGATTTATCTCTAAGTGGATTTGCTTAGCATTTACACTCCAGTGGGGCTTCAGGGGTAACTGGATATTACCACCGTATCGTAAATCCAAAATCAGTAGGCATACATAAAAGCACATCATAAAACATTAAATTCTAGCTGAAACCGTGGTCCCAGACAACCCTGAACCTGAGGCTTGCTCTCTTTATTACACGTAAGAGAGGGGCGCCTGGGTGGCTCGGTCGGTTGGGCGTCCGACTTCAGCTCAGGTCATGATCTCACAGTCTGTGAGTTCGAGCCCCGCGTCGGGCTCTGTGCTGACAGCTCAGAGCCTGGAGCTGCTTCGGATGCTGTGTCTCCCTCTCTCTTTGCCCCTCCCCCGTTCATGCTCTGTCTCTCTCTGTCTCAAAAATAAATAAACATTAAAAATTAAAGAAAAAGGGTAAGGGAACAGTAAGTATTCGAGGGATACTGAAGACATGTTAGCGCCTAATGAGATTTAATCTTAAGGACTGAAACACACATGAGAAAAGATGAATTTTCCCATCAGATGTTTCGATGTTATTTAGTGCTTTAATGCACCACCTAATATGATCACATAAAATATCACCAGCCCCCCCCATTCCCCATTTCCAGAGACTGGCCTGGGAATTCCAAGGTTCTCCCAGGACTTCCAAGCTCAGGAAGAGTGTGATCAAGGACATCCCCCCTTGTCTGTGGAGACTCTGCCTGTCTGGATAGGGATTGTATATAATAATGGTGTTATCAGATGAGGGGCTGCTGCTCTGTACTCATTTCTCTGTGTCTGCCTGTGCCCGGGACGTTTGTTCATCTCCTCTATCAGATTGGGAACTCACCTGGGTCACATCCCTCCTGCTTCTGACTCCACCCTCAGCGCCCAGCCTGAGTTTGAGCATGGATGGGGTTCAGGAACGGTGTGATCAAGGACACTCACCTTGTCGATGAAGGCTGCGAACCTGCTGTTGAGACACTTGATCTGCTCCTTCTCCTCGTGCTTCACACACTGCGCATTGGGGTCGATCTCCAGGTTGAGGGGCGTGAGGAGGCTCTCGTTGACCGACACGCTGGTGATGCAGGGCGGGCTG